ATGTTTTACAGTCTTAACAATTAATCGATTACTAATTAAGTGGGTAATTACTTCAATAATCAATTAATGATGATTACTCCGACTAATTGTTTCCACTCTAGTTCAATCAACAAAAATTCTCCTTAAATTTTTGTTTAGCAACATTAATTAGCTTGAGTAACTACTGGTATTTTTCTCCATCAGACTGTAGCTGCAGTTTGATTGGTTTTCATTGTTTACTTTCCTTTTTCCCCACAAACATTATTTAGTGGGGAAACAAACTGCAGGTAAATCTATAGAGTAAATTACTGTGAAAGAGGGCTTTCTTGAAACGATGTTAGCTATCGGGAGTGTTGGCCTAGTGGTTAGAGAAGCTCTGAGAAGGTTGCAAGTACCTGGTTTGATCCCCACTGCCTCCACTCTGAGTTCCTGAGCAAAACCCTTAACCACACACTGCTCCCCGGGGACCGCGCAATGGCAGCCCCCTGCTCCCCAATGGGAGGGGTTAACTATGAGATCAATAAAGTTCAATTTCTATCCCATTCTTTCTAAATATGTGGAGAAAAGTGAGACTTCACCACCCTCTGACTGAATAGCTGATTAAAAACAGGGGTTATTTATATAACAGCTGATGGGAGAATAGTGCTGGATTTACACTAAACCAGAGTAGTTTTGAAATTTGGTCACAAATGCTTATTTGCTGCTGTGGTGAAATACAGTTAAAATAGTTTTTAGATGGTAAATCACTTCATAGGGTGTTGATTTGGAAGGTGTGTTGTCTTTCTCACTCTCACTAATTAAATTAGAATACAATGTCACTTCATGAACTAAAATCTAAGCTTTGAACATTTCTTTCCCATTTTTGGCTTAAAAAGTGTGCTTTGAAAGTTCTGAATCCAAACAAGATGCTTCTCTTTCTCTGCTTGCTTCTGCATTTTATTTATTTATTTTTTTACATAATGGGAAAGGATATAACTTTTTAGAGTAACATGCCTGGACACAAGTCAAAAATAAAAGGTAAACATGAGGTTGAATTACTTATAGACGTATTCTTAACTGTAAATTTAAAATCTACCAAAATAAAATGGAGACAATCTGTTATTCCACTTTTATTTATTTAACTCTGAGTTGTTTTTCTCATGATAACAGCTTTTTGGCCTTTAATGGTTTTATTGTTTCTCTTTTTACAGTAAACCTAAATCCAGGTGTCCTTACCTCACAGTGATTATCAGATGTCTCTCCAGAGGTAAACAGGCTGTGGGTGTCAGACTCTCTCCTCAGCATGAACTCTGACTTGATCAGGCTTACATGGATCTAAAGTGCAGAAAAAGGGGTTAGAAAGTCTTATTTTCATACATAAAAACATTTCATCCAATACTATTTTCAATATATCATCTGAATTCTTTTAACAATGACTCCCAGATGGATAAAAAAAAACACTGCAGTGGAGTAGAAGTGATGCAAACAGTGGATCAGAGGTTTGTCATCATAACACCTCTAACATCTGCTCTGCTCGCTCATTGCGTAATAACCAAACAGCATCAGTGTTTCAGGCAGCTGGCAACTTTTCATTTAAAAAAATAAAACGCCAACAACAAAATAAGCTTTCAGTAATATAAAAAAATAAACATTTCAATACATGTTTTCTGGAAAAATACTAAATATTCCTGATATTTCCCCAACTGTAACACATGACAAAATAAGAGCGGAGTGACAAATCTTACCCGAAAACCATCCTAGGACACAGAAAGGACCCATAAAAAGGAGTTTAATGATTAGAGCACGAGCCGACGCACGAGGTGCTGCGTGTTATTACGGTGCGGGGAAGCCATGAGCGCGCGCTGTTCGCTTGTGTTTGACATTGTGGCAAATCCTCTGCGTGATGTCAGCGCGAGCGATGACAGACAGCTCCAGTCCGGGGGATGCGCGCCCACTCACAGCATAGACCAAAACAGCGCGGGAGCGCGCGCCGAGGTTGGTGCGACTTCCGTTCTATGGGGCTTTCAAAATAAAACTAAAGTCCTCAGGATAATATATGTATTTTAAAAATTAATAGATTTTTTTAAAAACAGTGTATTGTGTTTTTAACGTGTAACTAAACTAGCTTCCAACCACCAATACCACAAAAAGAAAAAAAAAAGTGAAATAAATAAACTTAATTGTTTTCCTTAGATTTTTTTTCCATCTTTGCAAAACAAATTATAATTCATGTAGATGGAGGAGTTTCATTTTAGCAATAACTGAAAATATAAATTTTAAATAAAAAAATGTCCAATATATTTGTTAGTTTTGTTGTTAAACCAGATATTTTACCACTTAAGAAAATTGGCAATTTTTCTTTTAATTTCACTTTCCATTTTTCTTGATGAAATGTGCCTGATAGAACATTAAAATATTTAAGATCATTGATGTTTTGTTGTTAATAAATACATAGCTGTCAGCAAAAAACTGAGTTGTTCTTCTCCACTATCACTGCATGCATGACCTGTTTGTGGAATTGCTGTAGTCAGAGGCAAAAAGCAAAGCGGGTATCTACTTTCTACCCATGCTCATCCAGAAGAAGTGAATCCTGTCAAATCAATGACTGAAGGCAATCAGCGGATTTTCCTCAGATAGAAAACTTTTAACCAATTAGACTGTATTATCTGATTTAATTGTCTCTGTATATTGCTTTGAGGTGACATGTGTTGTGAATTAGCAATTTATTAAATAAAAACGGAATTAAATGGTCAAGTGAGAAGAAATTGAATTGAAAAAAGATTAATCATAAAGTGATTTGAACATTTAAAAACACAAAATTCATCAGATTTTCATACTATTTTCCTAACCTCTTAAAGACTTTATGATGCCATGACATTCTATTTAGTCCCAAAGTCCTTCAGACGAAGGACAGGCAACAACATGACAGATACTGAACCTCGCTGTTCATGCATTAGCTATTTCTTTTCGCACATCTTTCCTTTTCTTATGCTGGGCCAGAGGTTTTTGCTGGCAAAAAGCTCATTGTCATTGGCCTATATGATTATAGCCAGGTTTCTGGGAGTGTTTAGAAAAGTTTTGATGTTTGCAATTATGATAGCAGAGCTGAAGAGGCTTTTTTTTAACCATTACTCCTAAACAACTAACTGACTAGTAAGTTGTAGCTAACAACTGCAATGGGGAATTGATGATTCAAAGATTTCACAGCTTACAGAAAATTTCTGACAAGGAGCTTCAGTGATGGAATAGAAAAAAATGTTGGACAGTGTAGTTTTTCTTCGGATAACAGGTTAAAAATACATCTTCAGATGTTTAAATCACCTCTTGCAAACAAAGGCGCATACCTACTGGACATAGAATTGCAGGTCAGCACTTCATACCTCATTTTTTCATTGAATATGTGCCACGAGGCTATGTGGTACACTGGTATGTTATTGTCTTTTAGGAAAATAAGATGTTTACGTGCTCAGAGTGAAACTGTTCAAAATCAATGGTTAACACTTAATCTTTTGAACATGTCTCATCTTGAGTCAAATTATATACATGAAGATATTCAAAGACTCTGTTCCAACAATACTGGCATTAGTTTTCGAAAACTAAATCTCTTCATGTTCTGCAAGGGTGTTTCACTTTTATCTGACCTTCCTAAATCTAAGTTCAGTTCTATGACCCTGACATCTTAAAAGGACCTCAAACGTGGAGCAATTACATGTCGTTTTTGTCCTGATCTTTATCTTGGTGCTGTTAGAGCCGACCTACTCTCAGTCCAGAAGCCACGATGGGACCCACAGAAGAGCAAAAATAAAAAAGTTGTAAGTATTTATATACCCCACAAAGGGATAAGGATCATCCGCACACATCCCAAAATTGTTGGTTCCCACAGAGAACGTGTCCCTTTTGGTTAAGTGCACCACATCGTCACCAAAACTCTACAGCTACAGTTTTAGTGACTGGTAACTGCAGCCTCGCCAAAACAACTTTCCTGTGTTGTAAGTACATTTTAACTGTCTTTAGGAAACTTAAAGAGTGCAACACTAAATACTCCCAAGGCAAGCAGTAAGTTTGTGTATTTGGCTCAGACTTTAAAATGCTCTGTGGATAAATAAATGCTTAAACGGTATTAAGCCTTGCAAATAGACCTCATTTTAGCTGAACTCTCCCATGAGTCCTGCTGCCGCCTGTAGACAGCAGAGCAACTGAGTGAGATAAAGTGTAATCAGGGGGAGACCTAATAGCAGAGGGAGGGATCCTCATTAGAGCTGCATGTGGACCATGCAAAGGACCCTGAGGACACACTTCATACATGCACTGCGTGTTTTAGAGACATTTCAGCATGGATATGTGGTATTTTCAAAACAATTGTTATTGCAACAAACAAAAAAAATAACCATCAAAGTATTTCATTGTTATTTGCTGCAATGGATCAATAATTAGTATCACTTTTTTCCAACTAAAAGCAGAATTTGTTGGTATTTGTATTCAGTCTACTTGCAGAAATACGCCGCTATTAAAGGAAAAGTCCCGTCATATTCAGAATTCAAACTTCTGAAAATATTTTAAATATGAAATTATTATATACTGTTCAAAAAATCATACTTTTTTAAAAATTAAGAGTAATTCGATTTGACTGTGCATTACTGGAGGCATCCATGTTTGTCAAAGAACACTACTGCCACCTACAGGTTTGTGACATCACCGTGCGGTATCAGCTGTTGATCAAGTCCCAATGCTGTATCTGGTGTTTGTCACAACGCGCTATAATCCAAGTCATCTTGAAAATATTCTTCTTCCAAATGTTGGCTACATATTGCATATTTTTTCTCTGGCAAGAAGATCGATTGCAAATCCTCCCTCTTCAAGTTGGCAATGAACGACAAACCCGTCCGTGGAGGATCATGAATTGGAAAAGTGAGATAACAATTTTTTTTTTACTTTTACATGATATATAACAACATCCAACTGCCATGCATGTGGGCATTGTCAGTTTAACTATAGCTTTCAATGGTGAAGTCCTCTTAAAATCTAAAATAATTGTTGTTGATTGCAGGGGTGTCTAGTAGTTCCCATTAACTTTGCTTGTAAAGAGGAGACAATGGTGCTAGGCATTCTGGGAAAATGGCAGTTCCCAGACATGATCACAACAAATTCTTGTTTGTATTTTTTTTACTAATTAACGCCAAATTCATTAAATCACCGCAAACATATTCGTTTTAGGTATAGATAATGATCCTCTGATTATTGCTGACTCAGTCAAGGTTAGATTTTCAATGCTTTGATGAAGATTTTACATGAAATTTGGGCGTAATACCCAGAGAAGTTATGGCATTTCAGTTTTGATAGCTTTGCAATATACTGGATTATTCAGGATATCCAGGATTCCCTTTACTTTGGCTCGAACCAATATCAACAGATTTCAGATTATTTCCTACATTTTTTGGACAATTCTGCACATAAAAATTTCCCCTCCAACTTAAGAAGGTATGTTAGAACACTATGTCTTCATAAAACCGACTGAGGAAACAGAGTCTGTGTGTGTTAACCGAAGAGGCCGGAAGTAAAAGATCTAAAAGAGGAGATAAAGATGCTTGTATACACACCATGACAGCAACACAAACAGAGATTCAGCCTTGATAAGGAAATTAAGGAAAAGGGCGCAGCTCAAACAAACCATAATTGATGGACCAGAGCATCCCTCTCTCTCTCCATCTCCAACCGAAAGTCTCATTTGCTGTAACTTCTGGAAGGACACAGAGAGATGAAAGTCAGAGGGCAGCTGCAGAGGCATTTGGGTGTTTAGAGCCGTAGAAAAGGCATTCCGTGAATTTTCTCATCAGAGTAGGAATCAGGAGTTAAACACAGCCCATGAGGGCTTACAGGAATTCTCTCCTTTTCACTGAGGTTGCAGCCTTATGCCACAGAAAGAAAAGCAGGACAGCAACGGAGGTTTCGATCAGACGCCACACGCTGCTTCCAATCTGCGGGGACAAACACGACACCCAAGGGAATTACAGGTTACGGAGGAGTGAGAAAAGACCAGAGGTGGTTCAGGAAGCAGGACTTTGGGCGTGGGAGCTATGCGCTCCTGTGGTGGACAAGTGAGACAGAGCATCCACAGATGTTCAGATGGAGATTTAGTGCCTGTGAGGTGGTGGCTGATTGAGCAGTGAGAAGAGAAAATAAGGAAAGCAAGAAGCTCTGCGAGTATGTAGAGTGTAAGAAATGAAAGACAAAAGGTCTGATAGAACCTAAAAAACCCCCTTTTTCAAAAAGCAAAAGAAGGAAGCCCTTTAAAGGCAAAGAAAAAATTGTTTTAGTTTGTTTTTTTTACTCATACATTACTTTTAAAATACCAATGAAGGAATCAGATCAAATTAAGGACCTGACCTGGGATTTTGACCAATCCTGGGACTCGATCATCAAACCGGCTGCACGCCTTTGCCTCAATACCTTGGATTTCTCAGATCTCTGGGAAGAGGACGACGGTGGAGAGGAAGAGGGGCTTCTTCCATCACCGCCAAGTCAGAACCTGTCCGTGGCGCCTCCTCCACCGCCACTTCCACCACCTCCTCCTCCACCTCCTGCATCTCCTTTACCTTCCTCATCAAAAGGTGCTGTGATTAAAAGTCATACCTTGAAGCTTCACTGGAGGGAACTCCAGAACCTGGCCCCGCTTCCCAGGATGACGCGCTTCGGGAAGCAAACTATATGGGCCGGACTGGAGCCGGTGCATTTGGACACAAACCGTTTGGAGTACTTGTTTGAATCTAAGGCCACCAGCAGCAGTTTTACCGTGGCCTCTGGGCGGCAGGTGAGAATGAGACCAAACAACATAGTCAGGTCAAGGTCAAGTGTTTAAATCCTTCTTTCCTTTTCTAAAATGGCATTTCCTTTATGAATGGACGAGTTGGCAAACCGTGTTAATGTGAAGAAGACAGAATAAGAGTTCTGTGCCAAACTTGGAGACATACTAAGGCTTAATACAATCTTTGAAAAACATTTGTTCTTGTTTTCAAGATGGCCAGAACAAGAAAAAAAGTTAGTTTTGCCTCAAAGCATTAGTACTAAACAAGTTGGCTGCTGAGTCGGCTCAACTATGAAACTCAACGAAGTTCAACTGAAAGCAGTCTGGGGAGGGGGGGCACAAACTGCGAGCCAAGCACAGGGCAGGCAAAGAGCTGAACATAGAGGAGCAGACAGAAATGAGAGCTCACATTGTGCTCTGCTGCTGTTTGGAAAGACAGCAAACATAGGGGGTGTGGTGTTGCATGGGTGGGACTACCCCACTAGAATATCTAATATAGAAAACATTGCAAGTTAGCAGAAGTGGTGTGTTTAGCTGCTTAAACCATCAGAGGCTTATCCAATCACAGCAAAGTAGCTGGACATTCCCTCAAAACAAAAAAAGAAAAAAAGAAACAAGACTATAAAGAGAACTAAGGGACGTGATTTGTGGGGTAAATGGCCTTAATTCTACTTAATGTAATGATATATGATCTGTCAATACCTTGTAAAGGTCTAAATGAAGACTTTAGCCTAGGTTAGTTTTGTTCTGGTAACCATAGAACAAAATGGACCACAGGAAGCCAGGTTGTCTTCTACCTTTTAGAAAGAGAGATGACTGGCACATGGTGTATGCCTAGTGCTCAGTCTTTGGTATTATTCATCAGAATATGCTTTATTTTCATGTACCGTTTTACACGTAGAAGGCGTACACGTTTTGGTGATGATGTCCTACACATTAACAAGTAAACAAACAAATATGACATAAATAATGAATAAGGAAATACAAATTTTAAGAAATTCAAGCACCATTAAACAGCAGCTGCAGTATAAAATTTGATTCAGTTAAACACATATGTGCTTGTATGTCATAAACACTTGTTTATAAGGCTAGAAGCAGAGGGAAAGAAGCTGATTTTGTTTGGGGATCGATTGGTCCTGTTGGACCACAGCCTCCTGCAGCAGGGGAGAGTCTGAAACAGTTTTTGTCCAAGGTGGGAGGGGTCAGCTGCAATATAACCTGCTCAACTCAGTTTTCTGCAGGTTCGATTACTTTTTTTTCCAACTTTGAATATTTTTAAATGATTTTAAATGGTACATTATTTTTCATAACTTGATTCAATAATACAGGGCTGCTCAGTGGTGCAGTGGATAGCACTGCTGCCTTGCAGCAAGAAGGTTCCGGGTCGAATTCACACCACAGGATCTTTTTGACTGGAGTTTACATGTTCTCCCTGAGCATGCGTTGGTTCTCTCCGGGTTCTCCAGCTTCTTCCCACAGTCCAAAAACATGACTGTTTGGTTAATTGGCTTCTCTAAATTCTCCCTAGGTGTGAGTGTGTGTTTGTGAATGGTTGTTTGTCCTGTTTGTCTCAGTGTTGCCCTGAGATGGGCTAGAAACCTGTCCAGGGTGGACCCCGCCTCTCGCCCACTGACAAGTGGAGATAGGCACCAGCTCCCCTCGTGACCCCAATTGGGATAAGCGTGATGGAAAATTGATAGATGGATGGATTTGCTAAGACAAACAAATTACATGAATTATTTCAAACCTGAGAGATGTTTTCAAGATTTTAAAGAAAAAATTATAGTGATTTTCAACTTATAGCTGAATCATCAAGGTACATGAAGATCAAGCTTATCTCTATAGCAGATTTCAAGCTACACAGAGTACCTTACTATATAAACATCCAGACAGCTAAAACAATAGTTTCTAAGGCTATTAACTCAAAATCTGCTGTTAGCCATAAAAGGTCCATGGGTTGTCCAGATCTGACACGTTAGTATGATACTCCAGAGACTTGGATCTGCCACAGAGAAAGCTCTGCCACCTTGAGATTTTAGGCACAGACCTTATAATGAACTACAGCAGTTCTAAACAGAACCTGATAAAATACAGAAGCAGGTCTACTTTTATGGGTTTTAAAAACAATAAATACATTTTGTAGTTAAATCATGTGAATAGCAGGAAGCCAGCATAGAGAGGGATTAAATAATAATTTGAATTTAACTGTAGGCTATTTCTTTGTAACTGACTTCTAGTTACAAACTTTTCAAAGTATAAGCTGGTTTTACTGTGGTTCTATGTAAATAAAACTAATTGAATTGCACTGAATTGAATATTTTCCCCTGCAGTATGCCTGATGGATAATGTGTTGACACCGGTACGTCCTTCCAACGCCTGAATTAATCTCTGGTTAGAATAATAGTAACTTAAAAAACAAAGTAACTTTCCTGGAAATTGGGAAAAATTGTACTGCAAGGTCCTGAATAAGTTGC